TCTACAACAGTGTATAGTAACATCCTAAGCATTCACATTCACTCACCACTCACTGACACATCCAAAGCAACTTCCAGTCCTGCAAGCTCCATTCAGGATAAGTGCCTTATATAGGTGTACCATACTACATTTGTATTGTACCTTTTCTGAGTTTAGGTAAACAAATACTTACTATTGTGTTACAATTGCCTACAGTATTCATACAGCAACATGCAGTATAGGCTTGTAGCCTAGGAGCAATAGGCTATACCATATGGCCTGGGTATGTTGTAAGCTGTACCAGCTAGGTTTGTGTAATTACATTCTATGATGGTCTCACAAGATGCATTGCTCAGAACATGTCCTCTTAGAGGGACATGACTATATGCAAACACACATATACACATATTATGTATATCAGCTAAATGCTATTTTTGTAAGCACACAATGTCTTGCTAACTCTTATGAAGCTGGTCTCTAGCTGAAAATATTTTCAGATTACAGGTAGAATAATAATATATGCATCCTCATATCTTAAAAAGTTACACTGAGTTGAGATATTTGAAAAAATTCAATGACTCTGGGTATGACGGAACAGGAAATATATGGAGAAGGAATGAAATGGATAAATTAAATGTAGATAAAAATTATTTGTAGAAAAATTTAAGTACTATTGCTTTATAAATTTGATAGGCTACATATAATGGCAAATACACAGTCTAACTCATAAGGTATAATAATTTCAAAATGCCCTTTGGTTTAAATTTTAAAGGAATATATTAAAAGTTTTACATAGAAAAACAGAATAGGATCTAGACAATTTTAACTCTCTTCCCTGGTTTGTTGCAAGGAAATTTGAAAGCTTATGTTCGTTATATATATAAAACTACTAAGATTTAATATAAAACGGGTAAAACTTATTCTATAGTAGTAAGAAAAGCAAAACAAATTTCAATTTTTTTAAAATCTCAGGTTTCATCTTACTTTATAACAAAGTTTAAATTTCCTTTTTCTAAAATAAAAAAAAAAAAGAAACTGACCCAGATAATGCATATGGTACATGTGAAATTCTTTGTAAACAAATAAGTAATCCAAGAGCCAGGCTGATGATACACTCTGACACAGAAAATGCTGAAACAAAAGCATTACTGCATCATGTTTTAAAAAGAAAGACAAAGCTAGTTTAAAGGCTAAAACTAAAACTAGTACAAATCTAATTTGAGGATAGTAGTAGAAAGAAAAGATTTTTCTTGGCCTGAGTTTTTTACAAACTGAGATCATGCTGTATATACCCAGTGGGTTTTTTTGTTGTTGTTGTTTGTTTTTAGGAAATTATGGAGATCAGTTTGTTTAATGGCATAACATCTACTTATTGCTTTTACTGGTTTGAGGAATCAGTCCATCTGAACCACCTCAAATGCTTCATTTGCTTTGCAAAACACTATCATCATGAAGAAGAGGATTATTGGTTGAATATCCTTTGGAAATACTCAGCCTCTTGGCAACTGCAAAACATCTTCCTCCAGAAATTGCATTGTGCTCTTTCACATCCAGCTGCAATGTTGCGGAAATCATATATTCTGTAAGCCCCAGTTAGCCAGGTGTCTTCCCAACTACTCCTTATAAAGGAATCTTGCCAACATAATAATAAAGTCTCATGATGCTGCAGCACTGCTTGTCTTTATCCTGTGGCTCCAGGCCTGCAGAGAAATGGGCTTTCTCGGGCTTAATTAGGCCAACATTTGGCAAGAAACACCTCAATATATAAAAACCTCTTCTCCAGAAATGGGCAATCAAACTCTCTCTCCATACACTTTCTGGAACAATCCATCAGAATAAACTGCCAGTGAGGCTTGTTATCTTTTAAGCTTCAATTTTTATCTGGAGTTTGCAAAAATCACCTTGAGAATTTGAAAAAAAAAAAAAAAGAAAGAAAAGAAACAGATTTCTTGTATTTCAGAATGAAAAATATATTCTTTGACTTTCGTGAATGAGGTAGTAATGTCACAAATAGGTTTATCATAGAGTTGGCAAGGATTATAGCACAATATGTGGTTATGGTTTTAGTCTGGCACTTTCTCCAGCAGCCCTTCTTCATCTTTCATATTTGCTGAATAAATTGAAAGACAAAACCTTATCCTATTGAATTAGTTAGAGTCTTCCAGAGAAACGGAACCAATAAGTTCAAAACCTGCTGCCCTGTGGACTGGCAGACAGAAACAAAAGAGAGCTGATGTGCAGATGCAGTTTGAAGGCAGTCGCTGGAGAATTCTCTCTGCCTGGGGGAGGTCAGTCTTTTTAATTCTATTCCGGGCTTCAACTGATTGGATAAGTCCCATTCACATTATGAAGGACAATCTGATCCAGATTTCACTGATTTAAGTGTTGATATCATCCAAAAATATCCTCAAGTTGGCGTATAAAATTAACCATCATAAGCCCACCCCAGTCAACTTTGCACCCATATATATTTCTTTAAACCATATTTTATTTCCCATTAAATACAATAACAACATTATACATCCACCTGACATATTATAACAGCTGTGTGCAGCTGGAAATTCGCTAAGACTTTCCCCAGAACAGGATGCAAAATCTTTGGCTGATGTCTACTCTTCTCTGGTATCTTATAACTTAAATACTATGGTGCAAAGTTAACAATACTTAAATACTATAAAGTCAGTCCATCTTATGTTACATGATAAGGTGATGAGAGAGAGAAGAAAATAGAGATATTCATATACCTAAGTATGGATATACAGTTGACCCTTGAACAACATGAGTATGAACTGTGCTGATACACTTATATTTGGATTTTTTTCCACTCTTGCCATCCAAGACAGTAAGACCAGTCTCTCCTGTTCTACCTCCTCAGCCTACTCAATGTGAAGATGATGAGTACAAAGACTTTTATGATGATCCACTTCCACCTAATGAATGGTAAATATATTTTCTCTTCCTTATGACTTTCTTAATAACATTTTCTTTTCTTTAGCTTATTTATTGTAAGAATACCACATATAATACATGTAACATTCAAAATCTGCGTTAGTCATCTGTTTATGTCATCCATAAGGCTTCTGGTCAACAGTAGGCTACTAGTAGTTAAGTTCTGGGAACTCAAAAGTCACACGTGAATTTTTGACTGTATGGGGGTCGGTGCCTCAACCCCCATCTTGTTCAAGAGTCAACTGTATAAGCGTGCACACGTGTGCACACAGACACACACACACACACACACACACACACAACCATATTCATAACAAAATAAAGAGGAACTATTCCTGACCATTATGACAACCACAGGCCTCATTTATGTAAAATGGTCACAGGGTCATAGCTGGTATTCACGACTACCATCTGTCACTATCCATTCTGTTTTCTTTGCTTTCAGCAAGCACTTGACCTGGTTATAGTTCTTTACCATGTCGAGTGACCCAAACCAATCCTGAAGGGTCTGGGCATTAGTACTCCTATCTCATTGGTCGTTGTAGTTTTCCATTGACTTTCATCACAAAGTATGGTAATCCTAAGAGATTCCCTAGGGTATGTCCTGTATTCCACACGTGCTTTTTCTTACTTCCATTGTGAAATGGCAGTCCAGTTTTTCTTTGTTAATCAGGATCAGTCACCCAAGCCAGCCCAGTAACCCTTCCTTTGCCTGTTGATTCAGAGGCATGAATAGTCCAAAATGGGCTTAGTGGCAATTTAACTTTTATTTCAGTGAGGTAATTGTTAGATTTTATGATGGAAGCACTCCTCCCTTTGGAACGAAGACTTTTAGGACAGCAGAATATAAGGTCATGAAGACAAGAAGTAAACATTTTGCTACTGAGTCACTAGGAGCAAAAAGATTCATGCCACTCCCATTTTTCACCCTTCATTTCCCAGACCTCTGAGTCTTGGCTATGAGAGAAACAGCAACACATATTGGACATTTTTTCAGAGCATATGTAGCCTACTGGATAACTTTTCAACAGGCCTAAAATGTATTATCATCTAGTTGGCAATGCAATTGAGTCTTTAAAAGGCCATTCCATAGATCTATCAATTCAGCTGTTTCAGCATAGCAGGGAACATGATAAGACCAGTAAATTTCAGAAGCATGGCCCTATAGCTCACTTCATTTGCTGTGAAATGAGTTCCTTAATCAAAAACAATGCTATTTGAAATAACATGATGGTGGATAGACATTTTGTATGTCCATGGATGGAAGATTTGGAAGAAGCATTGTGTGCAGGGAAGAAAAATGCATATCCAAAGTAAATGTCCATTCCAGTAAGAACCAAACAGTGTTCCTTCTAAAACAGAAGTAGTCAAATGTAGTAAGTATGCCACCAGGTAGCTAGCTAATCACCCTGGGGAATGGTGTCATTTTGTAGACTCAGTGTTGGTCTCTGCTGCTGGCAGATTGGGCACTCAGCAGTGACTGTAGCCACGTCACCTTGGTGAGTGGAAGTTTGTGTTACTGAGCTTATGCACAATTTTCATCCCTGTTACCCTGGCCAATTTGTTCATCCCATTGGGCAATGATAGAGGTCTCTGGAGAGAGGAGCAGACTGGTATTCACTGAACAAGTCATTCTACGCACTTGATTATTAAATCTCCTTCCACTGAAGTTTCCTTCTGGTGAACATTCACATGAGTCACAAATATCTTCATGTTTTTTGCCCCTTCAGAGAGGTCTACACACCTATCTCTCCTGTAGACTTGTTACACCCGAGCAAGTTTAAACAGAAGTGCCACACTCTGAGTTTGTTGAGAGTCCACTTTTAATGCCAGGGTCTGAGAGTCAGCTAGAGCTCAAACCTCTCGGCCACAAACAAAGGGCAGTCAACATTTTTATACCAGTTTAGGGTCAGGGGACAGTAAGCAGATTATTACAGAAGCAGAAGGAGCAGGTTAGGGGAATGAGGGGGGTACCTAACAAAAAAGTTCTACTTAAAGTTGCTTTTTCACTCAGGATGTGGGGTGAGCAGTTGCACGGTTGCAAGTACAGGACGTACAGGCTAGTGGGCCCTGTTTCTCAGAAAATTGGTTACAAAGATGCCAGGTGTCTCAGACCACAAGCTCTCAGAACAGAATGCCCTACATAGCTCAGAGTGGGCAACATAGCTCAGGGTAGGCAAAATGGAATTAGCAGGGTTGTTTAAAATGTATTTATTACAGCCAACCTTGGGTATTTCATTCCCCATTGATGTTTTGGCAGAATCAAATCATGGATTCCTCAGTGGTATCCAAGGGATAATAGTGGGTTCTGAGATACATGAGGCTGACAGAGGCTATACGCTGTTTGATGAATTTTAGGAGCCAATTTAGTATACATGGCCCAAAAGTTAGACCTCAAAGAAGGAGGAGCAGGAGGTGATTAGGATGGTTATCTCTGACTTTCTGGAGGGTGTCCCTATTGACTCCAGACTTGTTAGCATAGAAACAACAGCTTTCCCTTAAGGCAGCACAGAGTTCGCCTTGGGACATAAATAACAAATCTAAGCCCCGGAGGTTTTGAAGGACCCTCTCAGCCAGAGAGTCTAATTGGGCATCTAACATGTCTATGGCAGACTGAATTCCTTGTAGATCAGAGTCAGCACGTTGGGAGATTGATACTAGTTCAGTTTCTCTTCAAATTAGAGCTGCAGTTCCCAGGGCGGTGGAGCCTGCTACACCAAGTCGTACCGAGAGGGGCACCAGCAGTGGGGCCGCGGCTGAACCTGGAGTGTAGCTTCGGCAGGGCGAGGAGGTGTTGTCCTTCCGGTTCACCGTAGGCATATACTCGGGGAAGTAGCTATGCCAAGTCCTACCAAGAGGGGCACCAGAAGTGGGGCCCCGCGGCTGAACCTGGAGAGTAGCCCCAGCAGGGCGAGGAGGTGTTATCCTTCCGGTTCACCATACGCATATACTCGGGGAAGGAGCTATGCCAAGTCCTACCAAGAGGGGCACCAGAAGTGGGGCCGCGCGGCTGAACCTGGAGAGTAGCCCCGGCAGGGCGAGGAAGTGTTGTCCTTCCGGTTCACGGTATGCATATATGGAGTGCAGCCCCGGCGGGGCGAGGAGGTGTTGTCCTTCCGGCCCACTGTATGCATATACTTGGGGAAGTACATGGACTAAGACACACGGTTCAGGACTTGCTTCTGGAGTTGTTCCGTTTATGCAGCGGGCAAGACCGGAGGTGCAGGCCAACCAAGTGCCGTTAGGAGGTCTATAGGATAACGAAGAATTCATAACAGTGAGTAAAGATTTATTACATGTGGTTTGAAACGGAGAGGCAGACACGTTATATTAGAACTGGTTAAGCAGGAAGCATTTCCAGCACTATCACCCAGAGTGAGTGAACGGGAAGGCTTATTGCAGGGAGGGGACTTGAGTGAGATAGGCTTTTCTACCCCGACTCCTATATAGTATGGGGGTTTTACCTTTAGGCGTAACCAACCGTCCTGGGCCAACTCAGGCCGGGTGGTATTTAGAAGCTTATGCATGTCAGTCAGGATTGTAAGGGTCGTTGCTGAGTTTAAAATGAGGAAACTGAGGCCAGTATAAGAAAATTAAATGTCAATTTATTCAGCTCCCCGGCGAGGTTCTCTGGTCCGGGGAAAGGAGGCCAGAGGGGTCGCGCTGACTTCCTGGGGTGGGGGGAGGGGAGGTTGTGGCTAGGAGGAAGGAGCAGCAGCTGGGTCCAGGGGAGCGGGATTGAGATGGGGTGGGTCGCTATTGGTTGGCCGGTTGTTGGGCGGGTTTTCCGGTGCGAGAGCCTGCCAGGGTTGCATTAGCGGGAGCCTTCCAGGGGAGCCAGGTGGCAGAGCTAAGTGCCGAGTGCAGAGCCTGGTGCAGAGCCTGATGCTGGGTGCACAGGTGGGTGTGTCTGGCCTTCCGGCGAGGCAGCTGGCCTTACAAGGATGTTCGTCAAGCTCAGGGCTAAATGAGGCTTAGGCTCAAGCCCGGAGACTAGGCTGGGGCAGGCTGGTTGAAATCTTTTTAACTAGGGATAAGGCTGAAACATAGGGTCTCTTAAGTCTACTATGGGCCCAGTAGGGTTCGGCGGTCTCCAGTACGTAAGAACTTTCTTTTGGATTACGAAGTTCCTGGATCTCGTCCAGTTACATCTAGTCTGAGTCCCCAGGTCATTCCTATGGTCCAGTAGAAGGCAGAGGGATTGTGGATAGTTAAGTACAGGGGGTTACAGGATTTCATTGAGTACGTGTTAGGACGGGCAGCACGGGCTAAGGAGAGGGTTGAAGATTTTGCTGGTCCTCCCCTCCCCCCCAATAGGTGGCTAGAGTTATACAGGACCAATATGGGCAAAAATATTCATCTGCTGGCAATTTACATCTGAGGGGTTTCCAGAACACAGGTAAAAGTTTATTGACTGAAGTTCCTTTTCCTCTTTGAAAGATATTCCACATCCCAGGAAAGGTACCCCGAGTGAAACCCACTGTGGGGCACTGACAGGAGGGCTAGCCTCTGGGAATAGGGCACACAGGTCAACTTGGAGGATTAACTCTGCATGGGACAGTGTCCCCTTCCAAGTAGTATTATTAACCACTTGTCCTATTTGGAAAGAAGTAATGAGGAAGGAATAAGTGTGCTCATCAGGGGCCTGGAGTTGGCGCGTGGTGACAGGTATAAAAAAGAGGGAGAAGGAAAAGCAAACTGAGGGTTACTCGGGGGTTTTCAATCTTTCTAAGCGCAGTCTTAAAGGAGTGGGTCCTGGCTCAGGGACGCATGTTGCTTATTCAGTCTTGGTGGTGGACTTTGCATGGGAGCAGTGGATCCAGGTTGGAATACCATCAACCTTTAAGGCAGTGGGGGTTGTCAGGATCTCAGTGTAGGGTCCCTTCCACGATGGGATAAGTCCTTCCTTCTGGAACTTTTTGACATATACAAGGTCTCCTAGGTGGAAGAGATGATCAGATGATGGTGGGTTAGGAGCAGGGGTTGAGTTTGTTTCTTGAACAAGTGGCTGGATAAAGTCTTGTATCTGTTGGCGAGACTGTAAGTTCTGTAACAGGTTAGCATGAGAGATTTCTGCCAAATGAACATACTTTAACTTTGGTAAAATAGGGGATGCTGTGCCAAACATAATTTCATGTGTGGTGAATTCTTCCCTATAAGGAGGGCATCTAGTTCTGTTCTAAGGAGTGGGAGGGGAAGAAGGTTTGTCCAGCTTTCACTGGTCTCTAGAACGAGTTTTGTAAGGGTGTCCTTTAAAGTTTGGTTCATGCATTCAACCTGTCCAGAGCTCTGTGGCCTGTAGGTGCAATGTAGTTTCCATCTGACATTTAGTGTCCCACTGACCACCTGAGTGATGGATGAGGCCAAGGCCGGACCATTATCTGACCCAATGGCAGCTGGCAGCCAGTATCAGGGAATGATTTCATTTAATAAAATTTTTATTACTGTAGAGGCAGTTTCATTTCTAGTGGCAAATGTCTCAGTCCATCCAGAAAAAGTGTCTACTATTACCAGGATATACTTATATCCAGCCCAGTATGATTTTATTTCTGTAAAATCTGTTTCCCCTCTCTCTCCGGGGCTGCACCCCCGGAGGTGGCAGCGCAGTTTAGGTTTTGGACCTTGCCTGGCATTCACTTGTGCGCAGGCCATGCAGCTGTCAGCTGCCAGTGTAGTCAAGTCTTGGAGGTGGGGGATTTTAAAATGGTCCCGTAGAAGTTGTACCAACTTGATTTCTCCTAGATGTGTGGTGGAATAAACTTGGCTCACTAGGGCACTCCGTAGAGGCTCAGGTGGGAAGATTTTTGAGTCTGGCAGGATTCACCATCCATTTTGGTTTTTGTTGGCCCGAAGATCCGATTCTTGTCTTTCTTCCTCTGGAGAGTATGTCAGACGATCGGTCACATCTGGCTGTGGGTCGGATATGACTGGCAACATAGTCAGTGGGGTGACAGGAAGGACGGCGGCTCCTTGGGCTGCAGAGTCTGTTTTCTGATTTTCCTGGGCGATGGTCATTTCGTCTCCCTGGTGTACTTTGTAGTGGATCACAGAGACCTGATGGGGAAGCCACACAGCCTCAAGCAGGGCCAGAATTTCTTCTTTGTTTTTGATAGTTTTTCCTGCAGAAGTAAGTAGTCTCCTTTCCTGGTATATGGCCCCATGTACATGCACGGTAGCAAAGGCATACCGGCTGTCAGTGTAAATGTTTACCCGCTTGTCTTTTGCCCAACAAAGGGCCTGGGTGAGAGCTATTAATTCAGTTTTCCATACGGAGATGCCAACCAGTAGTGCTTGAGCCCAGAGAATATTGGTCTCAGTTGTGACAGCTGCGCCGGCCATATGCACCTCCTGGTTGATAAAGCTGCTTCCATCGGTGAACAAAGTGGCATCCACTTGTTTTAGAGGGGTATCCTGCAAGTTCAGCCTGCTGGTTTCTGTGACCGCCAGTATTTCTTAGCAGTCATGGATGGGAGCAGAGAGGTCCGGGTCCAGGAGCAAAGTTGCTGGATTTCGACACTGCGCAGGATGGAAAGTTAGCCTGGGCTGGTCCAGTAGCAGGCTCTGGTACTGTAGGATCCGTGAGTTTGACGTCCATTTTCCCAAGGTACTTCTGAGCAGGATTTCCACTTCATGGAGTGCCGGAAAGGCCAATTTGGTCCGTGCCCAGTGGTGATACAATAGCTCACTGGGGCCTCCGAATGTTATACCCAAGCGAGTTTAAACAGAAGCACCATGCTCTGAGTTTCTTGAGAGTCCACTTTTAATGCCAGCGTACGAGAGTCAGCTAGAGCTCGAACCTCTCGGGCACAAACAAAGGACAGTCAACATTTTTATACCGGTTTGGGATCTGGGGTGGTAAGCAGATTATTACAGAAGCAGAAGGAGCAGGTTAGGGGAAGGGGGGGTGCCTAACAAAAAAGTTCCACTTAAAGTTGCTTTTTCACTCAGGATGTGGGGTGAGCAGTTGCACGGTTGCAAGTACAGGAGGTATAGGCCAGTGGGCCCTGTTTCTCAGAAAATTGGTTACAAAGATGGCAGGTGTGTCAGACCACAAGGTCTCAGAACAGAATGCCCTACATAGCTCAGGGTGGGCAAAATGGAGTTAGCAGGATTATTTAAAATGTATTTATTACAGCCATGCTAGGGTATTTCAGACTGTTTTGTCATTAATTTTCTGATTGGAAAAGACCCTGATCATTCAGCCAAACCATTGGCCATAGCCTGTGAATCAGTATGTAGTCACCTACAGGAGCACCCAAACCTGTCACTTCCAAACAGCATTGCTAACTGCCACCGACAATTAACACACCATTGCATCTGCTGAATCATATGGCTCACTTGCACATATGGGAGCTTAAATGGCAGCCTGGAACTGTTGCAGAGTTTTCGTTTATTCTGGGTCTCATTCAAAATCAGCAACTTTTTGGATCACTCATCCTTTTCTTTTCCCACTTTATCGAGTAACATTAGAAGTGTAACAACAACAACAACAAAAACTTAAGCACGTTACAATTTTAAAGGATTTATTTGAGCATTCGACAATTTATGAATTGGGAAAAACCAGACTGAAAGTGGTTTACCATTCCATTGAGAGGAACAAAAAGGAAATTTTTATGTTTGCAAAATCAAGATAAATATATTTGATTGCTCAAAGTGGAAAGTACTCAGAGGTCGGTTGGTGGTTTCTCATTATTATAATTTCTCATTAACTTAAGTTACACTTAAGTTTTGTTTTACTGTTTACATTTGTTTTGCTTATGCAGTAATCTAAATTTCTGGGCTATCAAAGCCCAATGGCCTCAGTATTCCAGGATCTCTCAGATATTTGTTTCTTAGAAGCATTTGATTATGATTATATATTGTTGATATTTTGTGTATCTATATTGCCAGATCACACCATGAACTATCTTTACTACTGAAAATAGTTGTTAGTGACATTAAATCTAATCAGGTTACAGATCTAATTGTGGAAAACCCAAAACCAATTCAGAAAATTTGCCCTTAAGAGTTTGTTCCTCTAGAACCACTCTCAGTACCAAAATCTGTATTAGTCAGGGTTCTCCACAAAAACAAAACCAATGAGGTGTGTGTGTGTGTGCGTGTGTATGGCATGTATGTGTGATATATGTAATATGTATATACTACTTCCACCTCTACTAGTTCTGTCAGGGTCAATAGCATTTTCTGCTGCTTCTTTCAAGGGCACAACTTTCTCAGTTTACTACTTAAAAATTGATATTGTTTAGCATTCTGTTCACATTGTACATGCCCAGGCTTTAATTATCCTTTCATGTATTCAGAAAAATTTAAATATCTGCTCTGTGCTGTCTACTGAGTATGAGCAGGACATACAGTGCAATAAAAAAGAGATTATTTTTCTCCCCGATAGAGCTTATGCACTAAAAATGAATACAGGCATATTTTTTTTGAATCATACAAATAAATTTTCTATGAAGTAAAGGAATATAATTTTTAATAAAATATGTAAAATACTTGAACCTAGGCTGAAGAAACCAAGGAAGACTGAATAGATATTCTGTATAAGCTAAGATATAAATGTAGTGTAGAATTTACTTGGTCTAAGGTTTAAAGGAGTTTAACATAAGCATGTTCCAGCAGAATAGCATGTGTAATAACATTGCAGCATTAGAGCTTATTACAATTATATTTTCTTATTTCTTACTATTATTATATTGCTGCTACTACTACTTGTACCTCTACCAGTTCTAGTATTACTACTACTAACTACATATTTGTGATTTCTAATCTACTTCTGAATATGTATCAATCTTGAGCTACAGATCAATATTTCCAACTTCCTATATATTGAACATTTTCATATTGAAATAACTTCTAAGGCAAGGGAAATCCTGGCTCAGCCTTCCACAGGGAATTGTTACAGTTAGGCCACGGGGAGTGATGTGAGGAATTGAGGAATTCTAGAGAGGATGTGTAGAAGCAGGGGAGGCTTTTTATGTGATCCCTGCCCAGTCAGTCTCATGGAAAGAGTAGTAAACATTCTGAAAGTATTTCAAATTCAATGTGCTTTTATTACTGCCTGACAATATGGGGTAGTAAATGACTGTGGATTTTGGAATCACAGTCCCTTGATATGTTTAACCTTGAGTCAGTAATTTTATCTGTTTCTTCTTTTTATAAAATGGATATTATAATATCTGTTTCATGGGAATGCTTTAAAAACCAAAGTAGATAATTGATAAATGCCACCTAGCACAGCACCTGGCACAAAGTAGGCACATAAAAAGTCAATTCTTTTCATTCTCTTTTTCACTGCTAGAAAAATGCATACTCATATTTCAAAGAAAAGATCATATTTCATCTCATTTCTGGGAACAATTCAATTGTATTCTCCACAGCACTTCATACAACTCTCTTTTAATATTGTTGATTCTATTTTGTTATTACCTATTTTCCATTCTGCCTACCAGTTATTCAGGAAGTTTCTCATGGGCAAGGCTTATATCAGGCACATCACATTACTCCCATAACTAGTCTTATATTTGACATCTAATAAGTGTTTATTATTTGTTACATTAAACAGCTTTTACTCATGCCTTGTATTTGACTAAAATCTATAAGTCAACAGAATAAAGCTATGATATCTATGTTTTAACTTACTTTCCAAAAATGTAACTAATTTCAATAAATTCTGGACTACTTTCTTGCCCTAAAAAATACCTGTTTAAAATTGTGTCTATTACCACATTTTTTCCCTTAACAACTAATACTGCAACTATGAAAGTCACTTTCCAAGATGGCCCCCAGTGATCCCTTGCTTCAGCAATTTAAGTCCTTGTGCATTTTCCTGACACACTGACTCTGGAATAGCTCTGTTACTCACACAGCAGTACTTCAAGAACAATCAATGAGTCAAAGTAACATTGATGGCTAAGGCTTAAGAGATCTGCAGCTTTTTGAAACTCCATCTCTATGTTTTGTGAGGAAGCAGCCATGTGTAGAGGCCCACAGAAAGGAAAATGGTGCCTCAACAGATCTAACAGCTGCTGGCCATCACTAATGACCAGCTATGTGAGTGAAGCCGCTTTGGACCTTCTGGCCTTTCCAATGTCTTGAATAATATCATTTTAAGTGGAAGATCCTCCCAGTCAACCAACACAATTGTGGGAATTAAAAAAATATTGCTGTAAGCCACCCGAGTTTTGAGATAATTTGTTGTACAGTAATAAATAACCAGAACAGTGAACAATGCAATGATAGTAGTGATCTTACATAGCAACCTTTCAAATAGGAATGGTAGGGACCATAGCAGTCATACAATCTGATTACATCAGAGGTTTCCATTTTCTTGTCTGCTTTTGTTTCAGGTGGCAATCTAGCCTCTGCTTAATGTCCAGGTATGTCAATAAACTCACCACCTGTTAAAACAGTTGACTCAACTTTTGGATAACTCTATTCAAATGTAGTTTTGTTCTTTTTTTTAATTTGGAAACTCTCTTTCCTATAATTACTGCTCATTTAGTTCTATATCTATCCCTATGGTCAACTATGATAAACCACTCTACCCACTCCTTCACCAGCCACATATTTTCTTCTTTTGTGACTCAGTTAGGTTTTTTATTCTTCTGATTTTTAACCTCAGAATATGCTGTAGTTGTCCACATACCTTTTACAACAGAAAGCACTTCTTTAGGGGCGGCCCATTTTGTGCTGGGAAGAATGAATATCATCATTTACTTAGGGATGTTAAGTGAATTTGTTTGGAACTTTATATTTTTCAAAACATCCCATCGTATTAACTCATATATTTCTAATGTCAATTCTGTAAAGTAGGGTTGGACATTTCTTTATATTCTTGTAATAAAAGATAAATAAACTGAGACCAAAAAAGACTAAGAAACACTTTCAGACTGCAGTCAGATATTTCTGCATCCTAAGTTAGAATTGTATTTTGTTTAGTGCTGTTCTGATTTGTTTCTACCTCAGTTCCATCAAGTGTAAAGAAATAATAGTGAAGAGACATTCTTCCTCAGCTGTACCCTCACCAAGAAATGATTACATTTTATATAGGTAACAGGTAAAATACTGGCTAAGGTTATTACTTTTTATAAGATTTTTTCAGTCTTGCTGAAGGTGAAGCTACTGGTATGAATATCTTAGAAGTTTTACTTGTCTATCTCCTTGGGCAGCCAAGTATCTGACTAAAAGCATGGATCGACAAATGTTTAAAGAATAAAAAACCGTTTAGCTTGTCTTCATGGATTATTGCATGTGGATCATAATTCACAATTCAATAAATAGAATAGAGTGTTCGAAGTATATTTCTTTTGAAGCTCTGGTAGATCACTGGTTGTGATACCATTTTGTACAATAACCAAATGATTTCATGTTAGTCATGATTATTTCAGATGTAAAAGAGACTATTGGCCGCTTTCATACCTAAAGATTTCCTGGACACATTATATAAATAGTTAAATTATACAAACTGAGCAAGATACACCTATCTAACAAGTATAGGTGAATGTATAAATTTATGTGCATATCTCTGTGTGTGGCTATTTCAGTGGATTCAATCCAAGATAGCAACACACACATTAGTTAAAATACTCAAATGCATATTTAGTTTTACAAATTAATCTATCATCTCAAATTTTAGTTCTTTCAGTTAGTTTGAAGCAATATTTCATAGAATAAAATAATGGACTTTAATTTTTTTTTTTTTTTTTTTTTTTGAGAAGCAGTCGTGCTCTGTTGCCCAGGCTGGAGTGCAATGGCATAATCTTGGTTCACTGCAACCTCTGCCTCCTGAGTTCAAGTGATTCTCCTGCCTCAGGCTCCTGAGCAGGGATGGCAGGCACATGCCACTATGCCTGGTTAATTTTTGTATTTTTAGTAGAGACAGGGTTTAGTCATGTTGGCCAGACTACTCTCAAACTCTTGACCTCAAGTGGTCCACATGCCTCAACCTCCCAAAGTGCTGGGATTATAGGCATGAGCCATGGTGCCCGGCTGGCCTTTAATTTTTATAGATAAATATTCTTATTGTTTTATGTAAGAACTGAAAACAATATTTTTAGAAGAATTTGAGGAGAGATTTGATTGAATCCTATTTTTATTTTGGGAAAATTGTCAAGAAAATATGAAAATGAGAATTTCCTTCCGATGCAAAGAAATCTCTATAAAGCTATCTGAACAACCGTTCTGTTTATATGGGTACCTTCTTTTGCCTTTGGATAACTAGATTTTTTTCCTGACAATCTTCACCTATTTTAAAAGATTTCTCAATTTCTCCATTCTTTCAGATTACTTTAATATATTCTCTTTTAAATCATTTTTCTAACATTTCATAGTTATTTTTAATTGAACATGTGACCAGTTTTGTATTTGTGAGTGTTGGTTTAAGGCCAGCAAATCACTACCTTTAGCATGCCCAGTGATTTCAAGCCAGCTCCCACTTGTACTGGCATTAGTTACAGCTCTCCTCAATCTTTAATCAATTTCATCCTTTAAAAAAAAAAA